ACCGCCCATCTGGCAGCCAAGGCCACTCTTATGGAGGACTGTTTGTATCCCAGTTTCTGAATGGAAGAAGTGAGTGTGTGTGTCTGTGCGCCTGTGTGTAGGGAGAGGGTTAGGACTTCTAATGGGTAGGCAGTGTGAAAAGATCGCCAAGGGTCGGGCGCCAGCGGCCAGCCTCTCTGATGCAAGACGGACCGAGTCACGCAAGGGAAAAACGAGGAGCTTGTTGTCCCGCCGCGCCCTCCCTTTCTTTTAAGTGTGTGAGTGTGTGTGTGTGTGTGTGTGTGTGTGTGTGTGTGTATGGATTCAGATGCAATCGGAAGTATTTACACTGATGATTTATTAGGAGTAGAGCTCTCACCCCTTAGCACCCCTGTTGGGGTGAGTTCTCTTGAAAGCCATAGGAGCTCGGAGGAAAAGACACGCAATTCTCGCCAGAGCGAGAGGGAAGAGGAAACACAGCAGAAACCGGGGAGGGGGGGGGGCTTGTTTTGGTTTGTCTCTTTATGGGAACTGCAGTCTAGAATCGCCTCTTCTATATGTGTAAGCGAACAGTTGGACTATTTGGTACGTTTAAGGCTGCTTTAAGGCTACTTGCTTGCCTAGGAGGCAAGAGTCCCGGGAAGTTCAGAGGGGCCTCCTTCTGATGAAGAGCGAACGGCCTGACAACGCGCTCTCCGCGTTCTCTGCCGAGGCAGATCTCCATGTTTTCGCCTGTCTCTCGGTCGGCGGCGGCTGCTGCTGCTGTTATTGTTGCTGCAGCTGGTGGTGTTGAAGTGGTTAAGCTCTAGAACTGTAGGGTCCCCTGGGGTGGCTTTAGGGATCCACGCGTAATGCAATCGCCGCTTTCTTCACCCCCTCGCACCACCGTGCACAATTTTCACGTCTGAGGGGTGGGGGTGGGGTGGGGAAGTCCCGAAAATCAGCTTTTCAATTTCGGCTTGAGGAAAACTTTCTTCCTTCCGCACTCTGCATAGGTTGACACTTTTGAAAGTTATTGGCGTTGTGAAATGGGGGAGGAGCGGGGGGGGGAATTAGTTGGGTGGGATTCGGTCTCTCCTGAACCCTAAGGCAACTGAAAGCTTTCTCCCCAACCTTAAATACAGGGGCTCAGTTCCGCGGACAAATCCTTATCTGAACCGGATGAGACGGAAGGTGGTCCTCGGGCTTTTATTTAGCCCGGGGTCTTTAAACTTGCCTGTAGCTAATGGACCCACAAAGTCATTCTCCCCACTCCATCCGAACCCCAAAGGCTGGGAATTTTCGGCACCCTTTTTGCGAAGACCTGGGAATGTACTCCGTCGCCAAGGACACAGAGTTCTATGAGCCATAAATTCAAACAAAGTGCACCTGAATGACAGATTTGGAACAAGTTATTGTTACGACGTTACCGTAACTTTCTAAGAACTGTATGGAACCTCCCTCCGCCCCTTTTCGGACTGTGAGCGGCCCATAGAGTTCCAACTTTCACTTTAGAAAATCGACCTGTTTTGATGCGGCGCGGATGTGGGGGGAGGCGAAAAACTATTTCCTTTACCAACTGCAAAAGCTCACGTGGTTCATTACAGGCGGACTTTTTCCCAGCGAGTAAGAGGGAACAGCCGTCGGCATTTGAAAGCACAGGACGAGATCTTTGGACTCGAAAAATATGTACCCAGAGATCTCCCTCTCCGTCTCCATCTCCCTCTGCCACGGTTTTCCTCTTTTTTTTTTTTTTTTGCTACATTTTGGAGGCAACCCTAAATCAAAGAAACCAGGGTTCCTAAATATAATTTCCCAGGGTGCTAGTCCATAAAACTTTGGATTCAGTACAAAAAGACAACATGATTATTGAGATTCACAGAATCTTAAATATTATTTTGGCCAATCTTTCTTTCTTTTCTCTCTTTTTTTAAAGATTTAAAGAGTGGTCCCCCGGTGGTCCAGATAGGTGGGGTATAAATCA